ATGTATTGGGATCAAACCTTCAAACCGCCAGATGCAGTGCTTGCAGAGCAAGGTTGTCAGATAGATGGAAAGGGAAAGCAGCAGCTGTCATATTGGTCTTCAGCAAAGCATCTGATACTGTTCTTCAGCAAGTCATAATCCAAATGCACTCATGGCTGGAAATTAATGTTGCAGTCTAAAATTTGCTACAATCCTCGATGTATGATATGATACAGTGAAAAATCAGAAACTGAATAGGAGCTTCAGCTGACAGCTTCCCGATTAAGTTAAAAGAAAAGTATCTGGGTTTGATTTGTGCTACTCTTCCATTCAAACTTATTTTTGATTCATTGACCACTGTTACCTCTGCTTTTTGGAAGTGGCAACTTGTCCTTCAGTGATATATATTTATTTTTCATGAGCATTCTCTGGCTTTATCCTACTAAGAGAAATCTCCTGCTGTTACTTTCTTGTCACAATTTCATTCTCTTAAAATCTCTTCTGTTTTTTATGTATTGTCTTTGATATTCACATATACTTCCTGTGTATCATCATTTCCAGTTTTACTAACCTCATGTTTATTATTTCTCTCATGTTGCTATTAGGGATATTAATTCTGCCTGACCTACATACTGCTCAGTGCTTCTCTTCAGGATGTTTTTCATTCACCTGTGCCAAGAGCTGAACTACCACGGCTGGAGAGCTACCACTTTCTGGGCAAGGCAGCTTGGAGCCAGTTGAGGTAGCTTTGCAATGGACTGCGCTCACTGTAAGAGACACCAGATACGCTCTAAAAAAGTGTGTGTGCTGTGATAATGAGTTAATCTGCATGGGGATGTTTCTTCTTTACTGTGCTACCAGAGCATCTCTCCTCCTGGAGATTTCCAGGTGAAAGTCACCTCTCTGTGCTTTTGTGTAGAAAAAGAACAATCTGGACCAGCGGTTTGGCATATTTTTGAATGATCTGAATAAGGAAATAAAGGTTACACCATGCTGAACATAATTCCTGATATGAGAACACATAATAAGTTCAACAGGCCTCAGCTTATGCACTGGCAGCAGATACCTGCCACTTTGGAGCCTTTGAGAGCCTCCAGTAAAAATAAAATAAATATGCACGTACACACTTACTCAAATGCAGAGAAGCCATGGAAAAGGCATTGTAGGTCCATTTTGAAAATGGCCTCCAGCTACCAACATGTACCACCAGACTGTCGTAATACACTCAAATATAGTCTTGCATACCCTGCTTCTCACATTTTGGGTTTTGCCAGGCAGTGGGGTGAGGGGTGGGAGCTGGAGGCCTGACTGCAAGCCTTGTCGATGCAGCCATGATGCACACACCTGTTGAAATTCTCCTTGCCGTTACTCCGCCGCTGAATGACAGTCCAGCCCCCACCATCAGACATGTCGCAGTACGCTAGGAAAGGCTCTCGGTCTGCCCTGGGCCTGATCCGGTAGTAGCCATTTTTCATTTTCTTCCGATTATATACAGCAGAACAATCTAGGCAGAACAGCATCGGTTTGTTAAACAGAGGCAGGGGGGAAGCAAAGGGGTACGTGCAGCCAAGAGAAGACATTGCTGAGAGGCTGGGCGGGACAGGGACACTTGACCAGCCTCTGTGTAGCTCTGCAAGCCCTGCAAAGCCAAAGCAAACCATTCAGTAAGGTTCTAGCAATGCTGGTTTGCAAACTGCTGGGCTTGATGAAGAGGAGCAAGGCTTAAGAGCCTTTACAGCCGTGCTCTCTGAGGGATTAATTCCTAAATCTCTAGTGAGATACAGGCTGCAGCTCAGTTTGGGGTTATAGCATGGGAGTGAAAAAAGAGCAGGACTGGCTCTGTCAGCAAGACCATTTGCAAGGAAGCTAATTTCCATGTGGAAGGCAACTTCAGCTGTACTTCAGCTGTAGATTGTGCTAGGGCTAAAATCTACCAAGGCTGAATCAGGAGAGTGTCTGTCAGGACCTCAGTGCTTCACACTTCCAGTGTAATGCCCATAAGGAATAAAGCCTTGGCCACAGGCCATGATTCCAGTAATGACAGAGTTCTCAAAGAGACACTGAGGAACAGAGCATACACGTGTGAGACTGTGCTGCAGAAGTGATGGAAGAGACAAGGAACAGGGAGGCTAGGCCCATCCAAACAGGTTTCGGTGCCCACAGTTGGCCAGGCACTCTGGGCTCCTGTAAGGCACTCAGAGGAAATGAGCTCTTCAAGGACAAGACCCATCTCTCCCTAAAGCAGATGTCTAAAGTAGGTTTGATGGAAAACAGCTGAGAGGTGCCTGTTGCTCTCTGCACCAGAGCCTCAAGTGAGAATCCCAACTGCAAGTGCTTGTGTTGCACCCAGGTGGTAGCTGCCTAAAGCTAGGCCAGCTGACTCCAGCCCCAGGGATGTCTGCTGGTCCCAGGGCCACCAGTCTTCCCTTTTCCTTCCCCTGTATCGACTGCATTTTAAAACACAATCCATTTTAAATGGTCTAAAACTGTTAGCAGAAATAAAATACGACACGTGGGATGCTGAAGGGAGAAAGAAACATTTTGGCAAGCTGAAATTTCCAGATGCAATACTGCAAACTCTACCTTGATCATATACTATCAAATTTCCACTGGTTGTGGGTAAAAGCACCTCATGCTGCGTGCTCCTGTTGCCTGAAAACAGTCCACTTTTTGCTCTGTGGTAAGTGTTCTCCAGGATGTCCTTCAGTTGCAGTTCATATAAGTAAAGCAAGTCTTGAAGCTGTTTTAACCTTTGTCTTAATTTATTGTTGTCTAGGAGGCAGATATCTTTTTCCTATGGAGAAAATAAAACAAAAACCCCACACACTTCAGTCAGTGGTAAGAACAGAGAGGCAGAGAGGAGAATTTGTCTCCTCTTAATCCTAACATGTCACACTGTCTCTGTGGACCAAGAGGATTCGATGGTGGTGTTTCTCTAAGACACACACTTGGGCACAGCATGGGCTGTTGAGTTGAACCCAGTGGAAAAGGGTTTTCTACAATGACCTTGTCACTTCTCAGAGCATCCCAGAATATGATCAGATATGCAGAAAATTATTTTGGACAAAAATGAAACCAAAGAAGTGTTTGGAGACTACGAAACTGCTCAGGGTAATATGAGGGAGGATTAAAAAACAGCTCTTGCACTGCAGCCAGGCCAAACCAGTGAAACATCTTGTAAAACTGGAAGATAAACTAGCTGACACTTGGTGCAAATCAGCTGAAAGCAGTGAGCCTAGCAGGATCAGTGGAGTAACTTCAGAGCTGCACTAACATATCCAAGACCAGAATCTGGCTCACACTGTCTGGGATAAATATTTTCAGCAACAATCGAGTTTGTGGCTAGTGTTACTTCATTAGAAACATAACAAAAGGGAGCAAAATCTCTTCCAAGATAACCAAGCAAGCCTGTGCCAGAAGAATCACTGGCTGTTTTCACTCTGAGCAAGCTGACTTGAGAGATACCAGGTCAGGACCAGTTCTAGGCATAAGCAAAACAAGAGTTGCCCATGACAGTAAACTGCCCAGTGTGCTCAAATGTGGCATCCCAGATGCCTTTTCCTTCTCCTAGGCCTACTGGTTTTCCTCCAGAGGAGGGTTGGAGGCACACAGGGACCTGCTGCAGACAGCCCTGAGCTTTACTTGCCAAGCTCTGTACCTTTTTGGTATGACCGAAGAGTAATTTGCTCATCAGGCAAGTGTAGATTGCCTCAGACTATGCCTACCTCCTAGTCCCCCTCCTGCTTTTCATATGACATTGAATAAAAAGAAGGCAGTTTACCCTGAGGAAATGGAGTGGAATATAGAATTATAGAATATCTAAAGTTGGAAGGGACCCATAAGGACCCAACCCCATAAGAAGTGATTGGCCATAAAATCACCTTTATTTTTTTATTGAGAGGGATTTTTGTTGTTGTTTTAATTCTTAGCAATGTCAGTCCAGCTACCCAGAGAGCTGCACAGCCCCTAATGCCATGAAAAAGCTATATTACCAGGACAACAAGAGTGACCCTTCTTTAGTTACAGGGAGATGCCTTCTTGCTCTCCTCTTGCAGGTCCCTATCCCTTTTGTGGGAGACCACCAAACGCTAAATGACTGGGTATGATAAACCTATTGGCTGCAGAGAGGTTGTACAGACACTGGCTAAGAGATACGCACCGAAAACCTGGGTGCAGGTGAGCTGAAGTTGACCAGGAGAAGCAGCAGCAGCAACCAAGGCATCATCACACTCATTTTTATCACCTGCAAAGAAGCATTGACAGGCTGCACTTGAGGTTTCTTTAGTTCTGCTCACAACTTATTCCCCCCTCCCACTCATATTTAATTCCCCAGAAAATGCTGCAGAATTTGTTAAGCAAGTTGCTTGAAACTACAGGCAGGACAAGATCAGGGAAATGATGCATGTCAGGGAGAAGCTGAAACACCAGTGCAGCACACCGACAGGAGAACCGAGGCTTGGGTCCAAGCTCCTGCTTCCCTGGAGAAATATGTCCCACCCGGTGGGACTCTCCAGCAGCCTCTGACCCTTCTCCTGAGTGCCCACACAGAGGGGAAGTTACTCAGACTATTTGGAGCATCCCTTGCTAGACTGATGGGCCAAAATCACACAGTCATCATTAATTTAAAACTCTATGAATTCAAGAGGAATTTTGCCTCCTGGTTGAGTGACCGTAGGTGATGCCCCTCCTTGGTCCATGGAGAGGTCTGTCAGGATGGGATCACCTTGGAGGCCAAGAGCAGAAGACACACATGGGACAGAACAGGCATTGGATAGTTTTTGCTTGGATTTCAGTGGAAGAGGTCTCTGCTGCTGACATGCCCCAGCACATAGACAGGGCTTCAGTCAGAGTCTCAGCTAGAAAAAACACTAAGCAAATGCCACTGGGAACATACAGCTGAATGTGAGCAAACAGTACAAACTGTTTGCAGTGTACTTGCATGGTGCTTTTAGGAAAAAAAATCAGAAAGAACTGAAAAAAATCTGTAAAATAGGCTAAACTCGACTCCTCCGCTTCACATCTGGAAGTGTTGCAGAAACTTGGCTACCCAGCTCTGTGCTCTCAGCGACGTGTTTTGTTTCAGCTATGGCTCCATCAGCATCCCTGCAGTGGCTGGTGCTGGGGCTGCTTCCAGAGTCAGCAAAGCTGCTGCGACAGGGGAGCCATTTGCCAAGCCCAAAGCAAGCCGAGAGAAGCAGCACCCTGTGGAAGTCACCCATAGAAGGTGTTGCACAGGTGGGTGGCCCAGCACACAACGTTTGTTCAGCATTGCAGCAGGGGACCCCCCAGCCCCCGAGCACTGGTGCTGTCCATTCACTCCACCACACAGCAGCAGCGCTGAGGTCGGATTCAGGCCCCGTTGCATATGGATGGAGGCAAAAAATTAACAGGAAGGATGGGTTTGAGCAATGGATCCTGAAAACCAGACAGTGCAGACAGAAGGGAAAGCAAGCAGCTTCATCTACACCTTTATCAACATGTATTAAATGCACATACCTGTAACTCGCCTTTCCTTTAGAGCTTCTCCTGATAAGATTATCTCCCTTAAAAGTCAACTGCAAAAGAAAGTGATCATAAATGTGGCTGTGTTTCTAGACGCTGATGCGATTTTCCTCTCCAGATGGCCCACATCAAGGGCGCAGATGAAGAAAGTTTCACAGCACTGGGCAGTTCCACAGAAAAAAACACTCACAGTTCCTCTAATGAAAGAGTTACCCAAACCCCAGGTTACCTGCTGTCACCCAATATTCATCCTGCTCCTTCACAGTGAGGATAAACAACTGTCAGGTTTCTATCAGCAGTGCTGGTTGCGCACCATTACCCACCTTATTTGACTAAGAAGCTCAACCAAGACTGACTTCTTTAAGTGTTTATATGAATCACTCAGACTAATGCTCCCTGTGGGAGTTTTATCTCACATTTAATACAGCCAGGCTCATTTCAGTAAGTCCTGCAAGGTAGAAATAACACAGCTTTTCCGCTCAGCATTCCTTTTGCTGTTTAATCTGGTTTATATGTAAAAGCACAGCACAGCTGTATTGCCAAAGGAGCTGCAAATCTGAAGCAAGAAGTGACCAGGAGGGTATTAAGCAAGATTTGCTATTAGACTGGAATCTCAGGAGGTTTGCAGTTGTGTAACTCTCCTCTGAGCTGGATGATTAGATTTGCTAGTTAACATAAACAAGGACATTTGTGGAAGGGAATAAAAAAAACCAACCCAAACAAACAGATGGGTGCCTCCCTTTGCGCTATGGCCAGGGAACTACGGTTTAGTTTAAAGAAAACAGCACAAATGTTCCAATTTAGAGGGCTGTGTTTGGAGTAGAGACTGTGGAGCACAAAGACAAGGCATATAAGCTCATCATAAACTTCTGTATTACTCTCCAGGAAAGCAGGAGTGTCCAGCTATTACCAAGTACAACAATGCTGTTTATTTCTTAAAAACAGCATTCCTCTTCTCCCGCAAGAACTGCTGACCCATTTCACTGCCAAGGAATTATGTAAACTGTGCTTTTCTTCTCACTTGTTCTCTACCCCCAGTTTTAGGCTGAATTTAGAAGCTATGAAATTAAATGAGTGAAACACCTCCTCTCCTCCTTAGTGGGAAATTGGCCCTTTCTTCCACTCATCCCCTGGGGCTTTCATCCACACCAGTCTCTTCCTTAACTGGAGCCAACCAGTCAGCGCTTGAGACACCGCCTCCAAATTTATCCTCTTGCTTTAATGGCCAACAACCTCCTTGACCCACAAGCACCTCCCAGTCCTGGGTGGGATCAACAATGGCCTGGACTGGCAGCACTGGGGTCACGGTCTGGGCAGCACGGTCATTCTCTGTGGTTGTCTGCAGGGCTGCACAGCCAGGAAGCATCAGGCTGCACGTGTCTAACTCCTGCTGGTCCCTGGGTAGAGGGGGTGGTGGAACTGCGGTCGTGGTGGGACTCATGCGTGTGTTACGTGACTGCAACTTTGCAGGAGCAGGACTCAAAGTCCAACTCTCCTTCAGGAACCCCCCAAATGTCTCTCAGAGCCAAGACACCTGAAGCACTCTCATGCTCTCTCGAGGACCCCACCAGTGTTAGTCCCACCACTGTCTGCACATGAAAAACCCAGTCAGCTGGAATGTGTTTCTTGCATACCTGTTTCACAATGAACTTATTTTCCCAGGCTATATGAAATTTTGGGAACATCTGAAGCTCAAGAGAGGGACTGCCATGAGTGTGAGGTCACGTGAGGTAGATCTAGCAGAAGGGTGTGTTCATGTACTGCTCCATTGGCCCAGAGCTAAAATAATCAAGTCATCATAAAGAACGTGGACACTGTGTGATCACTGATTTGTTTTCTCACAGATGTTGAAGTCCCTAGGTGATAGGACTGTAAACGCTTTTCTGGTTTTTTTCTCCTGGAATACACATGCTTTACACATATTCTGCAGTGCAAATTCCTGTTTAGTTACTTGGAAGGAGATCAAATTCCCTCTTCTTAAGATACTCAGTGACCTTGTCAGCAAATAATAACAGTTTCATTAACTAAAAACCTCCACACCCTGCTCTCCTCCACCCTCCTTCCAGCAAAAGTACGTGGGTGCTGAGTAACAGTCATAAAAAACTATTATTCACACATTAAATATACAGCCAGCACAGAAGGAATGCAAACTGGTGGATAATTGTCAATTAAGAGAGTGGCTCTGGGGCACCTGCAGTCACGGGGCACTGGGCTCTACCAGATAGACTGGCTCAGGATGAAGACATGAAGGTGACACCCAATGGACCTTCAATCCCCGAGACCCCAGGGGAACATCATTGCAACTGGAAGACAGTGGTGTCCTCTCAAAACTCTCCCAAGTGCAATTCCTCATTGTTCATTTGTTCTTAAAGGAGGAAGGGAAGAAATGCCACAGACTGCTTCAGCCTCCAAAGGAGGTACTTGAGGTTTTCACAGCAAGAGTCTGACTGCCTACCTGTGCCCTGGGAAAATTCAGTGAGGTCTAGAGCCAGCTCCAAGCAAATCAGCTGATTTGCACAAATATTTGCCATTATATTTATACTTCTCTATCACATCCCACCTTCCATGAACATCTTGCTCACTGGGAGAGACTGTGGGCCAGGCTCCTTTGCAGGCACTGCAGGTGTGGAGGTGTCAGTGGTCTGCAGGCTCTCGACGTGTGAGCTTCTGCAGGAATCTGCTGCCAGGTTTTTTAAGACAAAGTTAATGTACGAGATGTGAAACAAATATTTATTAAAAAACCCTAAAACCAACCCAATAAGAATAAAAGGCTTCATCAAAAGTAAGATATTTAAAAGGCCGGGATGACATCAGCCACTATAGTTTCAATCTACAAAATAACCGAAACCAGCATATGCACATTAAATGTTTGTGGTTTGTCAGTAAGGAGAGACCACAGAAACCTGTGTACAAGGAAAGAGTAATGGTAGCAGACCACGAAACATGCTAGATCTGAATGTTTTGATAATGTTCAAAGAGCAAAGACATAATTCAGTCTAACTAATGAGTCTGCATGCAGCCTATGAGTATCTAATGGGTTGACACAACAAATGTAATTAGTTTATAAGTTCCTGAGGGCAAGCACAGGTCCGAGCGGGTCTCACTTACATCAGGAATAGCTGTACCAAAGGGAATTAGTCACAGGGCCAGAGGGAGTATGTGGATTATCTGTATGATCTTCTACCTACCTCAGGTCAGAGAACTCCCCTGACCTCATTCACTCCCATTTGAACTAGAGCATCTCTGAGAAAAAGACATTTTGGTGTAAAATGTTCAGCATTGAAGAACCAGCTGCAGACCTCAGCACGCTCTTCCACTGCTTAATTCCCCCCATTGTTAATTATTATTGGCTTTTGCCCTGAGTCTGAATCTGCTAAGTCTCATCCTGCAGCCTCTAATGCCTCTCTCTGTGAAGGGGAGGAGCCCTCTGCTGCCAAATGTCTTTTTCCCTGCTTAAGGCCAGGTCCAAGTGCATACAAGCTGTGTGCCTGCCCCTGCCTGGAAACCTAAACCCTGGTAGCTGCTTTGGCTGCAGGTGTATGCACTGGGGGAAAGCCAGCAAGAAGCGAGGGATTGCATGGAGCTTGTCCTGGGCAAGGCTGGGCACCATGGCACGAGCACATCCCAAGGGAAGAGCGCTAGTGGGCACTTGGCTGGCATGGGGAAGGAGGAAGGGCAAGAGCAAGTTCTGCTCCTGGGGTGATTTCATTCAGGTTTGTTTAATGCAGAATG